ACTTGTTCATTTCCTCTGAGAAGTCGCTGTCAGGAAGGCCACTGGGCTTCCTGCTTCCCCCTGAGGAGCAGCCAGGCTGGGAATGAGGAGAAAGTCGTGTTCTGAGCCAGGAATCAGAAGGCCAGGAATTCCACAACCTGAACGTTTAACAGTATCAGCCCAGGACGACTTACTCACACAACGTGCCATCCCAATGTGACCAGAAGCACTTCAAGCCCCACACGGAGGCCACTCTGCCTGAAGGCGACTGTGAGAACTAAATCTAAATTTTCAGTGATTTGGTACATTGAAGGGTCCATAATTTCCAGAACTTTGTGACCACGACTGAGGCATCGTTACTGTATTGTTCCCAAAGTGGTCTTTATCTCACCCGTAATAATTCCAGCAAATTAACATCATTATGTTGTGCGCTTGGAGTAGCTACCACTAGGTGTCAGTAGGGGTCATTTGCTTTCAACAGGAAAAAGGTAAACTTTTATTTAAAAAAAAAAAAAAAAAAAAAAAAAGCCAAATAGTTAAAAGGCAAAACAGGATAAAAACAAGAGCGCCAAAAGTCTTCTGAGATAAGGAATAAATTGAAAGAATCACCTGGCCCAAATGTAGTGCTGCACATTGATAACAGGGCAATCTATACATATAAAAGCCCAGCGACCGGAACGGTGGAAGGCCCAGAACGGCCGGAATGATCGGTGGCTATGATGCACACTGCGGCAGCCAACTGGCCTGATCCGGACCCTGGTCGGCACCCCCTCCTGGCCGCCCGGCCCCTGATCAGCCCCCAACACCTTTACTGTGAGCCCGTTCGTGAGCCAAATTAAGAAACGCCCACTGATTTGATTAGTGAGTCAACATTCAGATTGAGTCACCACAGACTCAGTAAACTTGGCAGAGGAAGCGGGAGAAGGAAGGAGTTGGGAAGGAGAAAGGGGCAGGGGAAGGAGGCAGTAACAACACAGTGGCTCAAAGACAGGAGCCCTGAACGTCCGAGTGAGGTCTCCACGCCCAAACTGAGAGCGCCTGAATGAAGGCCAGGAGTGACGGAAAACCCAGGTTCAGTCTCAGAAAGCAGAGGTCAAATTAAGAGAATCACACCAACCACAGAAGGACTGCCCTCCCGTGGCCGGCCCTGCCCCCGATCGGCCCCCAACACCCCAGTCAGGGAGGGGCCACCCGGCCAACCTCCTGTGGCCCCTCTGCCCCACTGGCCCAGCCTGATGGGCCCCCATCGGGGCGGGCTGGCCGGACCCCACCCGTGCACGAATTCGTGCACCCAGCCTCTTGTTGGCAATAAAGTGACAATTCTTGTCAACTCTGAGCCAAATAATAGAGCTTGAAATGATAGGAAATGAAATATCAGAAATAACCAAATTCCAGAGGAATACAACTGATGTTAGGTAATTTATCATGCGACTATACATTTAGGAGAAAAATACATAGGTGAAATGAGAAATACAGTCGATACTAGAGAATGACAGTAATATTCTTAATCATTTTCTTCAGTAATTTGTAGAATATTCAGAAGAATAGCAAATATATTCTGTGTTTCAGAAAAAGCTCAATAACTTACAAATATGAAAAATTTGTATGTATTAACCCAGGATGATAACAAACTAGAGACTGGTTTAATAAAAACTTTATTGAAATACTAGTATGTATTTTAATTAAGTACTGAGTAGAAGAAAAAAATCAAGATAAGACAATAAAACAGGAAATCTGTTTTATTTCATATAAAAATATAAATTTGTGTTTCAATATATAAAGTGAAACATGTGGTACTTTAAATATGTGTCTTATTTAATGTTAACAATTAAAGGAATGAAATTAAAGATATATTTATGAAGTTCAAAAGTTAGAAAAAGGCCAAACAGGCAATTGCAAAGTGCATGGAAAAAGAAAGTAACAAAAATTAATGCAAACACTAAACATTAGAATACAAAAAGATAGTAGAGTTGATAAATTGGTCAGTGGGTTGAAGAACTAAAAAAGAAAAAGAAAAAAATCTATGATGTAAATTTTGTTTGTGTGTATATGTATAAAAAGCTAAATATAAGAAAGAAGATATAAAATAATCACAGAAGGGCTTTTTCTTACAAATTATAGGTCAACATCATTCAAGAAGTATGCTAGTAAATTGAAAATATCCCAATAAAGTCAGGCTTTAACTCTATAAATATTTCAAGAACAAACGGGCAATTAGAGTAGTAATTACGGAAACAAATGAAAATGTGTCCAATAAATCTTTCAAGAGTGTTTTTTCTAGATCTTCAAAGGTTACGTAGACCAATATGGAAATACACTTCGTAAAGTTCACATTGCTTTTGTACTTAAACTTAAAAAAGACAGCACAGAAGATAACTAGAAAGGTAACGCCCTTTTTTATATTCACAAAATTCCTAAAGAAAACACTAGGAGAAAAATGAACATGAAGATAAATTGAACATTTTAGTGTATTTTCATGAGCTTTTAATTCTAACCATGGTCCCATGCTGTTTCTTTTATATATTTTAATACCTACTGGAAAAGTTCTGATGTGGAAAACAATATTCGTTTTTCAGGTAAAGAAGATAATTTGGAAACCCCTGGGCCCCAAATCACACTGTGATATAGATTAGGGCCCCTTATATTCATAGATTGAAATTGGGAGGCTGCGATCATTTCTGTGTTTCATGTTCTCACACAATGAACTAGGTGGTGTAACATCATCCAGGTCTCCTATATCTTTCCATTCAGCTTTTCCACCAATGCCAGCATCTCATCCACTCCTTGCTCATTCCATTGCTCAGTTTGACACTGTTATTGAAACTGGAAAAAGCTATCCTATCTGATAAAAGCCTAATATGCAAATTGTCCCCTTGACTGGGAGTTTGACTGCTCACTATGACGTGTGCTGACCACCAGGGGGCGGTGCAGAACATGGTGGGTGTCGGTGATCTGGTGCTGGTAGTGGGTGGCAGTGGAGGCGCTGCCGGCCCTGATGGGCCCCGAAAAGAGCAGGACCCCGGCGGGATGGTGGAGCAGGTGAGCAGGCAGCACCAGGCCAAGGTGGATGGGAGCGGGGCCCGATCGCCCCGCAGACAGAGGCCAGCTTTTATCTTTCCCAGGCGCTGAGGGAGCCAGGCGGGGGCCCGATGACTCAGGCAGAGAGGGATGTGTGGGGGCCCAGAGGTCAGCTGGGATCTGCCCTTCCATGCCAGACTCTTGTGCTTTGATCACCGGCCAGGACTAGGGACTGCATCTGTGCAGGAATTTCATGCACCGGGCCTCTAGTTGTTGAATGACATGTTCTGAAAGGCACTGCTAGTGTACATGAAAGTCTTATCGTGTATAATGCTTATTTTATAACTATCCATCTAATTGTAGCCTTTTGTTGCTCTCACCGGTAGTTGATTCGATTTTCTTGTCTTTTCCAAGTCTGATCGTTGAATAAGTTTTACACTATTCACATCCCACTGCGTCATCTCTTGGTCTGTGTACTTTTTCGGGTGCAGTGACATCCTCTACAGAAAGACGACCTGTAACCATGGCAACTGGAAATCCCCGCCCCAGGTCAGCGTCCCCTGCGAAGCCCACACGTGGCTTTGACACGGACAATAACACTGACCAGAGCACTCAGTCGGAAGCCATCGTCTCGGAAAGTACAGATGTAGAGGCTGGTTCCCTTCTCCACAGCAGAACGTGCACAGGGTCATTACATAACGAAATGCTAGGCCTTTATCTTTCCCAAGTATTATCACCATTGGGATCATGCCAAGAACAGGATCTAGAGATTTGGTATCAGATATTTAAAATAAAACCTCCACCCATAAAAAGATTAAACGTGTTTGGTCTCTGATCATTCCGCCGCACGAAGACTCTGGCCCCAGCCCAAGTACGTGGAGGCTCCTTGCCATTTTGATGCATCGCTCGCGCCGCCGCCATCATTCTTTATAACAGCGGCGATGAACGGGGAGAGACGGAACGGAGTTATTCACAGAACATGCACTGTTCTTGGCGACCGAGCCGGCGCCGAGGAAAGAACGTTCAGCTTTATGAAGCAGTGCGGCTGTGTGTCCGGCAGGACCCGGGAGGGCGTAGCTCAAATGTGCACACACACACCCCCTGGAACTTAACTGCCTGACCCTCCACCTATGCTGCTGATGCTGCCCGTGGTCCCTGCACACGTGGGTGCCCGGTTCTTGGCATGTCTTTCTCTGGGCTGAGGGTTTTACTATGAAACACTCAGGGAACCCGTCAGAGAGAGGGTGAGAAGTGACTCATTCACCAAGGACAGGCTTAGAGACTAGTGTAGTCAATAGACTTCGCAATACATATGCTTACGACACGTGTGCTACGTGGCTATCACACACGTCAGTGTCACACACACATGATTTGCATACTTGCTTTCCCTGACAAGCGTCTTTTAGATCGCGTGCTGACGAAATGCAGATGCATATAAAACTCAGCCCCGAAACCACATGAAAACACCCAGGCCGGTGAGAACGGCGGCTGTGAGTCTAAAAACGCTGTTGGCAATCAAACACCCAATCCATCCTGCCCCAAGCAAACAAAAAACCTAAAAGGAGACTTGAAGCAGGATCTGCCTGGACAGTGGGCGTCTCCCCCCAGGCAGGGCTGGCGATCACAGGAAGGGACCTGGGAGTCCTGCCCTGCGCCCTGGGGTCTCCGGGTGTCGGTGACGTCGGCCAAGAGGTGACATCCTCCTTTCAAAGCCACCCGTGGCCTGTGTGGTGTCCGGCTGGGCATCGCCAGGAGCCTGTCACGGAGCCTGCGTGTGGCCCGAGTGTGGCTGGATGACCACAGGCGTGTGCGCATCTCCAGAGTCAGTGTGAGGAATCCACACGAATGCACGCGGGGCTCTGTCCCGATGAGCACGCTGTGTATGACGCAGGCTCCCCACTAATTGGCTGCCACGCGCCCGCGGCTCGCTGCCACGCCCCTGCCGAGGGCGCTTAAAAGGCCCCGCGGAGGCCAGAAGGGCAGTCTGCGAGCAGCACCTGTTCTGCACCCTCCCCGACACCATGAGCTACTACGGCGGCTACTACGGAGGCCTGGGCTGTGGCTGGGGCCTGGGCGGCCTGGGCTGCGGCTACGGCCTGGGCTGTGGCTATGGCTGTGGCTATGGTGGCTTTGGTGGCTACGGCGGCTACGGCGGCTACGGGTACAGCTGCTACCGGCCCTGCTGCTATGGGAGGTACTGGTCCGGCTGCTACTGAGACACCTGCCGGGACTGGACGGGCTGAGCGGGCCCCCCGGCCCCTGCCCCTCTGAGAATCTGGAGAGATGGGCAGCCCTGGGCCCCTGCGGTGGCCTTGGACCTCAGCACCCAGCACCCAGCACCCAGCACCCAGCACCGACCTGACAAAACCATCGCACTTGCGGTTGGGACGGGGCGGGGCACAGTGCGGGGAGTGACTCCCCGGGCGGATACATGTTCTGGGAGAACCCCCTTCCGATGGCTCATGGACGTGAGGGACTCACTTGACAATAAACTGCCTTCGCTGGGCGCCTGCATGTGTCCTAGTTTCTTGTCCGCACTGCATGGATAGGCTTTGCCTGTGTGCGCACAGCAGGTGGGAGTTCATGTGTGTCCGTCTGCAGCACGTCTGTCTGACTGCAGTGCATGTCTGTCTGTCTGTCTGCAGCACATCTGTTTGTCTGCAGTCCGTCTGACTGTAGCACGTCTGTCTGTTTGCAGCACATCTGTTTGTCTGCCGTGTGTCTGTCTGCAGTTTGTCTGTCTGCAGCATGTCTGTCACTCAGTGTGTGATCCTTCTTAAGGGCCCGAGTCCACGTCTACGGTGTGTGCATGTGTGTGTATGCATGTGTGCGTGCATGTGTGCGTGCATGTGTGCATGCATGTGTGTGCATGTGTGTGAGTGCATGTGCGTGCATGTGTGTGTGTGCATGTGTGTGAGCTTCGTTTCTGTGTCCACGTTCCCGTAGGTGCCCACGTTGTCCTGGCTGTTCTGTTCGCCTACTGTTTGTACCTCCAGCTGCTGTCTTCACCTTTTATTTAATTAAAAGACACACCCACCCACAGCTTGCTTCCCTGGTGACGACACCCTGCAGTGGAATCCTGTGATCTGTTTGAAGAACCTTTTTTTTAGCTGTCGGGACAAAAGTTCTCTTCCAATGCCTGAGAATGGGTGGCAGCTTCTGCGTCCACACGAGAACCACATGCCGGGTCAGCACGCGACCTACTTAGTAGTAATTTAGGACAGCAGCACCCTTAGCTTGGGATTCCATAACTCAGACTGGCCAAAGGCAGAAGCACATAAAGTTTGGAGAACAGAGTAAAAGAATCTCTGCAAGATGCCACCTTAATTTCTCTCAGGAGCACAATGACCACGACAGAGAGGGCCCTCGGCTTGGGTTGGGGAATGTCCTGTAAGGACCCCCACTGTCCGCCCCCAAGGCCGGAGGCACAGATTCCAGTGAGGACAGTACCCATGACACTGCAGTCTGTCTGCCTGTCTGCAGTGCGTCTGTCGGTCTGTAGCGTGTCGTGTGCAGTACAAACTCAAGGAGCCAATGCCAACATGTCTACAAACTTTACAGAATCATTGTACATTCGTCCACATTTTTAAAAATCCCTGCTACTAGGTGAACTGGGCATGGGCATCTATGAAACAGCTGTGCCCGCTGTGCCTGCAGGAGCCTGGCCCGGGCAGGGTGACAGGCTGGTGACGCTGTGGCCAGGGCCTCCCAGGATGGACCCATTGTTCCTTTATTCAACCATCACCCAAGGGAACGTGGTGTCACCCTGTGCCCGAGATGTACTCAGTGCCCGAGGTAGAAAGACATAAAGTTTCCTGTGATCGAGATGAGCTTCCGGGTCAGACGGAAATATAATTACAATTCTGTGGCCCGGCCGGGTGGCTCAGTGGTTGAGCATCGACCTATGAACCAGGAGGTCAGGGTTCCATTCCCAGTCAGGGCACAGGCCTGGTTGTGCGCTCCATCCCCAGTGAGGGGCGTGCAGGAGGCAGCCAGTCCATGATTCTCTCTCATCATGGATGTTTCTCTCTCTCTCCCTCTCCCTTCCTCTCTGAAACCAATAAAGAGAGGAGAGAGAGAGAGAGAGAGAGAGAGAGAGAGAGAGAGAGAGATGCACAGCGAGGCAGACTGAGCGACTGAGCTCACACGCATGGATCCTGGTGTTCAGCTCCTCCAGGCACAGCGAGCCGTGACCGGGAGCAGTCACCAGACGGGGCGGCGATAGCACCACCGGGGCCATTCACCCCAACGAGCAGGACCCTCCTACAGGGTCTCCATGGCAGCCACCACGCAGGCCGCTGCTCCACGAAGCCTGGTGTCTGAGGAACCCCACAGACCCCAGGCTGTGGCTCCCCGAAAAGTGACAGCATCCCTGCTGCCGGGTGTGGCTCTCAGGTGACAGGACAGCGTGTTGGATGGGAAGCCGGGCACAGCGGGACGGACAGGAGCAGCATTTCAGGGAACAATGACGCTTCCCTTCACGTGAGTTCTCAGGGGAGGACAGGCCCCCCGGGCTCTGCAGAGTCCACGGCCACGGAAGGGGGCGGGGGCTCAGTTCAAGGTGAGTGCAGCCTCGGGGGATGCCACGACGGCACCTGGAGCGTGAAGATGGTTCATGGGGTTTGTGACTCAGAGACCCAAATGGGTGTGTGGGTGACAGACACGATTGCGTCTTATTGACATAAAATTCTCTTCTAGGATTCCCTGAAGCCATACACGCCTCCGTGACTCTCGAAAGCCGCTCACATGAACACGTGCAGGCGTGTTTGCTGTTGGGAAACAAGAACGTGACATGGTTTCCAAGGACCGTGTGCCATTGGGTGACACAGGTGGCTGTCCCCACCCATGTATATAAACGTCCTGGGGCCGACCCGTCACAGAACGGACCCACAATTCCAGCCGAAATCACCTCTGACACCATGAGCTACTATGGCAGCTACTACGGAGGCTGCGGCTACGGCTGGGGTGGCTTCGGCGGCCTGGGCTGTGGCTATGGCTACAGAGGCTATGGCTGTGGCTGCTGGCGCCCGTCCTGCTGGGGGGGATACGGATACTCTGGCTTCTACTGAAATCCTGCCCAGCAGCTCAGCCTCTGAACTTACCAGGGACTTCCTCCCACGTTTGATCTAAGTAACTGGACAGCAAACCTCATGCTGGGTTATTCACTCTAAAGTCTTTAGCTCCTCAGGATTATGGGTAGATTTTCAACTGTGCCTGCGTCTCCCTTGTAGACCAGGATCCTCTGCGTTTGCTGTCAGAACTGATTGGACTGTCTGTTCACCTTCCAATAAAGCATTGAACTTGGACACAAAGAATGGTTTTGTTTTGTTCGTGAAACGCATTATGAGGAAGTGGTTCTGGGCACATCCACTCCGCTGTCCACGGGGAAGCGGTCGGGACCATCCAGTTTCCGGGATTTGTCTCCTGTGAGGCCGACTCATCGAGAACCGCCCCCCTCCGCCCCCCATCTCCATCCTCCTGCTTCAGCGCCCAGCCTGCTCTGTGGGCGCCTGGTCCTGACCGTGACGTGGAGGGAACTGGCGGAGCTGAGTGGGTGATGGGAGGGGGCTCTGCAGGGACCCACGTCCGTGTGGGAGGGACGCTCATCACCTCCCGCACAGCTGGGCTCTCAGCTCTGGGTCTAAGATAAACTCTCTGACACAGTGAGTGGGTGTGAGCGTCACTCCTCCCTCACGGTCTTCGCTGTGAAGCGTGGACCCATCAGCAGCCGCAGTGCGTTCTTCTATGTCTAAGACTTTTACCCACACGGTCTATTCCACACGTCCTCCTCCTCCTCACTTTCTTCTCTCCTTTCCCTTCTTCCTCCCCCCTCGCTCCCCTTCATCTACCTCCCCCTCCCCTCTTCCTTCTCTTCCTCCTCCTCCTCTTCCTTCTCCTCCTCTCCCTCCTCTTCTTCTTCCTCCTCCTGCTCTTCCTCCCCCTCCTCCTCTCCCTCCTCTTCTTCTTCCTCCTCCTCCTCCTCCCCCTCTATCCCCTCCTCCTCCTCCTCCTTCTCACTGCTACCTCTCCTTTCTCCCACCCAGACACAGGGATTTTAGGTCTGAGGGTAAAGGCTCTGTGATGATAATCAAGCTTCAGAATGTATTATTCCTTGGAAATCATCTTGTTAATTTCAAAGTAAAGTGAGAAGAATCTTTAGTGTGTGTGTCAATTATCTTATAACTAGAGGCCCGGTGCTTGAAATTGGTGCATGGGGAGGGGGTCCCCTCAGCCCGGCCTGTACCCTCTCCAATCTGGGACCCCTCGGCGGATGTCCGACTGCCTCTCGCAATCCGGGACTGCTGGCTCCTAACTGCTCGCCTGCCTGCCTGCCTGATCACCCCTAACTGCTCCCCTATTGGCCTGATCGCCCCTAACTCTCCCCTGCTGGCCTGATTGCCCCTAACCACTTCTGCCCCACCCCACACCCTGGACCCAGAATTCTCTCCTCCAGCCTGTCGCAGGCACCCAGGACCCAGGCTGGCTTCACCTTGGCTGGCCGCAGCCGCAGGGGATCATGGGCGGGTGGCTTTGCCTGGGCCACAGCCGCAGGCGCCTGGGACCGTGGGGTGGGCGGCTGGTCCCTCTCCTGGGCTGCAGCCTGGCTGGTCCCCATTCCTCTCTCCCTAGTGTTGAGTGTCTGAGCAGTTAAGGCATGATGGCGTGAGGGCGTGATGGCCATTTGCATCTTAGCTCTTTATTATATATGATACATTGAGAAAATAAATTATATCAACATATTAACTGCCGGGGTCCAACCCCAGCAGGTCCAGGGGTCCCCAAAGGTGTGGATGGAGTCGGCGAAGAAGGAATGACACAGAGACAGCGTTCAGTTGATCAGCAGCCCAGCCAGGATCTCTAGCCAGGATCTCCAGCCAAGTTCTGGTCTGGATCTCCAGAGAGGTTCTGCTTAGGATCTCCAGCCAGGTTCTGTGTCCATGTTCCCTCGCTAGGTTCTCCAGCCAGGTTCAGTCATCAGGTTCTAGTCAGGTTCTCTTGCCAATTTCTGTAGTCAGGTTCAGTCCAGGATCTTTTGCCATGTTCTCTCGCTAGGTTCTGTCTCTAGGTTCTGAGGCCAGTTTCTGTCCAGGATCTTTTGCCATGTTCTCTCCAGCGAACTTCTTCTGTCTCCAGAGAACGTTCTATGTAGGTTCTGTGCCTAGGTTCTGTGTCTCTCCGTTCTGTCTTCTTACATCTGTATTTATACCAGTTGATTCCAATCCTATCAATCTCTATTTCAAAGGTTAGGGAGTTTCTTATCTCCATTCCAGGGAGTAAAGATTATGTAGCTTAAGCATGATTGTTCGTAGTTAAAGTGATTAATTACCCACCTGGCACTTAGTTAAGAGGTTTTATTCCCTCCCTAACTTCAGGGGAAAATCCCTACCTGGGGAAACAACCTTTCTCAGAGACCTTGGTTAAAACACATAGTGCCAAGAAGGTGAGCAAACATATTAAGAACAGTATGCCATATATGCCAGGTCCCTTGAAACAGCAAGCATGGACCGGCTCCCGGCAATTAACTATTGTAAACTCTAGGAAAGGGGTGTGGGATGTTTGCCGTAACATTTAGTCTTTCTCTTTCTGGGTGTTTTTAAAATACCCCATAAATGAAATATCTGAAGTAAAAGCAACAATTCTTTATTCTGTCCTTAATACATGTTGTCATCTTAGATTTATGAAAACTGGCTCAAGAAGGAAAATATCTGAGTAGTTTTATATTTCACATAGAAATTAAGTCCGTGATTAAAAATCCCTCCCAAAATACCCGTGTGGGGCCAGATAGCTTCACTGGTGAGTTCTAAACACTTTTTGTTCCAAAGAATAATAGAAACACTCCTACATTTTGGTTGACCTATCACTATAAAAACATAATGCTGCCAGCAGGGAGAATTACAGGCCGGTATTTCTCATGAACACATATGCGAGGCTCCTAAGAACATACGAGCGCATTCCGTCTAGCCACACATGCATGAAACGGGTCAGACCTCCCGACCGAGGGGGTTTTATCCGAGGAATGAAGAACAGCTCGCCGTGAAAAATCACAACACGAGGCGCTGAAGCGAGTACGGGAGACACAGCATAACAGCCAGCGCCCCGGGCGGAACCCTTCTCCCCCCGGAAGGTCTACGGAGACCCAACCGGTGCCCAGGCCTGGGAGTGACTCTGCTTGGAAGCTGGCCTTTGCGGATGGGACCACGTTGGGATGCGGAGCCTCCAGATGGGGCCAGGGAAACACGGCATCTTCCCTTCTGTGCCAGAGACGGGGCTCAGGGAGGAGAGGAAGCGTGTTCACAGAGGCGGCCGTGGCCGAGGGAGTGGGCGTGGGGACACGGGGACCCGCCTGGGATGGTGGAGGGGACACGGGGACCCACCCGGGATGGTGGAGGGGACACGGGGACCCGCCCGGGATGGTGGAGGGGACACGGGGACACGCCCGGGATGGTGGAGGGGACACGGGGACCCGCCCGGGATGGTGAAGGGGACACGGGGACCCGCCCGGGATGGTGGAGGGGACACGGGGACCCGCCCGGGGTGGTGAAGGGGACACGGGGACCCGCCTGGGATGGTGGAGGGGACACGGGGACCTGCCCATGAGGGTGGAGGGGAAACAGGGACCTGCCCGGATGGTGAAGGGGACACGGGGACCCGCCTGGGATGGTGGAGGGGAAACAGGGACCTGCCCGGATGGTGAAGGGGACACGGGGACCCGCCTGGGATGGTGGAGAGGAAACAGGGACCCGCCCATGAGGGTGAAGGGGACACGGGGACCCGCCCGGGATGGTGAAGGCAGCCGAGGGGTGAAGGCCACAGAGGCCGGGCGGGCAGGAAGGACGCTCCCCCATCCCAGGAGCCCAGCCTCACTCCGCCAGGTTCTGGGCGCTCAGCCGCCAGGACCCGGAGGCAGCGGTCCTGGTGTGTGGGACCCAGCTGGGGGCACGCGTGCTGGGCCTGGGGGCGTCGGCATCGCCTGCTTCGTCTTACGCATGAGGAAGGCATGACAGACACGCTTCGTCTGCCCACACGTGTGTGTGGCTCAGGGCAGGCTGACTCTCTCCTATAAACGCATCCTCTATATTTAAATGGTGTTTCAGGAAAATGTAAATTTTTAAAAGTTAACAGACATTCATTACGCCTCCTTTTACAAGGCCTTGCCTGAGGCCTCGGGGATGCAAGACTCACATCCTCCAACTCAGAGGGCTCCGGCTGCAGCTCCGGTGACTGGTCAGGGACGGGAACCGTCTGTCCAGGCGGCAGCGGCAGTGAGTGACGGGGAGGGATGGAGGGGCCGGTGGGGATGGACGGACGGACGGACGGCAGGGACGGAGGAAGCGGCAGGAAAACTCACGCGGGGAGAGGGTCCGAGCAAACACTCAGGGCAAGGAACTCCCGGGTGTGCAGAAGCGAGATTCGGGTTCGTGGGCAGAGGGGCTTCACAAGGCGTTTTAGCAGGAAGAGCGGAAGGTGGGCTTTGGTTACCGTGTGACAAGATCTGAGTGTTTCCTACACATATGAAGACTGTTGGGAAGAAGTCACAGTGAGGAGGCGAAGTGCCGGCGTTTTTAGGATGTAGATATACTTGTACTTTCAGAGGACGAGTAGCCATCGAGAAATCCACCACCACCCCCCGTCATCATTACACTAATTGCCTCACTACAAAGAAAGAAAAAATTGAGAAAATACTTGTTTAATGAAAACCCAGCCTAAGACAAAGGGAAGAGCAGGGGAGGGAAGAAGAAGGGAAGGAGGAAGGCGAAGAAGGAATACCTCTGCGTAAATAAGCTATAAATAAAATATAACTTTTGCTTTAATAACCAAATAAGAATTCTTCTAAGTTTATAAAATTGTTTTGGCTTTTTATTACTTTTTTGTTATTAGTTTTTGATATAAGAAGTTGAAGAAGTATTGAAAGAATGGTATGAAAAATACTATTTCTACCTAAACATAAGTTATAAACATTGAACACTGGCCTTGTTGATTGCCGACTAAAACGCCAAGCTCAAAATCCTCACCTTTAAAATACCGTTGTATTCACGCATTATTCAGGAAATGCTGAAATGGAACATGGGATAGTTGACAAAATGTTTTTAAAAAACGCCTTTGTGACTCAATAATTGTCCTCTTGTCAACGATCAGTTAAGTAAAATTTTACGCCGTAACGAAGCTTCGCTGACTAACAGGTCTAAGAGGGGCTCAGACATTGAAGAGACAGGAATACGAACATCATTGAATTTGCTGAGAGCTGAGTGGCCAGGGAAGTGGACCGAACCGACAGACACTACCCAGCTGGCGTCCCCGTGGCCGGTGGGTGCCGCACAGCCTGGGGCGGGTTCCTATCAACTCTTCTCATTGTGAGCACAATAGGTTTTTGTTTTTAAATATTTTTATTGATTTTTTTTTTAAGAGAGAGAGGAAGGGAGAGGGAGAGAAGATAGAAACATCAATGATGAGAAACATCGATGGGCTGCCTCCTGCACGCCCCGCCACTGGGGAACTAGCCCACAACCCGGGCATGTGTCCTGATGGGGAACCGAACCAGCAACCACTTGGTGCCTGGAATGACGCTCAACCCACTGAGCCACGTCAGCTGGGCACAGTAGGTTTTGTGGAAAGCAAGCTCAGCAGGAAAATCCAAGGGAAGTTTAAGCTTCCCCAGTTGGATCTCTCTCCAGTTAGGAAAGAATAGCGTAGCTGGGTTTCTATGTAGAGCAAGCAGTCTGGGTTTTGAGTCAACTTGACGTCACGCCCCGTGGTTTCCCCATCTGCTGCCGAGGGACCGACGAGCTTCTCTCACGCATTCATTTGCGCCCAGAGGAACCAGACAGGCTTCAGCCACACCCCCACCCGGTGCTGGGAGCTGGCCTGGGGCCTGGGCGTGGACAGCAGTGGCCTGGACGCTGGTCTGGCTGCGGGAGCCACTGCCCTGTCTCTGACTTTGACTCCAGCTGGAAGGTCTTGGTCCTGATTCTGGCTCAGGGATGTGGACTTGACTTCGACTGAAACCCACTGATGCTCCCAAGCCTTAGAGACAGGACGCTCAACTTCCAGGTTCTTTACTTAAAGTGTTTCCTAACCTGCCTCCTGGGCTGCTGGGCACGGCTTCCATGACCCCCGTGGGCAGGGCTGAGGCTGTGGCAGGGCGGTGGCTGATGGATGTGGCAGATTGGAGAAGAGGATGCGATGTGACACCTGTTTTGGGACAGTTCTCGGGAGAATCGTCCAACATCAAATTCCAACTTTTCAAGCGTTGTATCCTGTCAAATCTATTTCCAGCTCAGAACACGGAGAGAAGATGGATTGCCCGCTTACGAGCTCGTTGGCGTGAGATTTAAGAGCTGTCTGTGTGTGGACAGCTGTTCAATAGCAGTTTGGACTAATTCTATAAATATCGGCTATTTTACCACCGGCGCTTTCTGCTTTCAATCTCCAGATGCTAATTTTTCATCTGAGATTCTTCCAGTGCATTTTACGGGGGGAGAGAGCGCCATGATCATTTCCCAATAAGTGAGTTTAATGTGGCGTTGCAACCGGGTGACCACGGTCGTCATTTATCTTACGTGTGTCCTTTGTTTTATGATTTCGCTGGGAAGACAACTGTGTCCCTTCCTGAGGACACCGGATATCCATGTTGCTCCAACAGTGAGAAGGAAATATCAAGGAATGAGATGAGGGGAGAGACAGCTGGTCTTTCCAGGGCCCCTTTCTCTCAGTGAGTCAGATCCAGACCCCGGGCCCAGTGCCGTGTCAGCCAGCTCAGTCCTCCCAGACAGTCCATAAGGCTTAGATGGCTTCTCGGTTCCCTAAAATTCACATTGGTGTGGCTCGGCTGGCGTGGCTCAGCGGTTGAGCATCGACCTATGAGCCCGGAGGTCAGGGTTTGATTCCCAGTCAGGGCACATGCCCGGGTTGCAGGCTCGATCCCCAGTGTGGGGCGTGCAGGAGGCAGCCGATCCATGATTCTCTCTCATCATTGATGTTTCTCTCTCGCCCTCTTCTTTCCTC